GCTGATGAGATCATACTTGAGATGATCACCGTCTATGTATAAGGTAGGAGATCGCCATCACAGATGTCTCATGGTCAGCAATGAATTGGTTGAATTAACCAAGAGTTGTCGTTGTTCCGTAGTCGCATCATTAAACTTCACGAAATGAGCATAATTAGCTGTAAGACAGCAAAAAAAATGAATCAAACAAGCAATAACACGGAAAATTTGACAAAAGAGCGTATTTCAAATCAACGTGGTAGAAGGTGTTCATATGTTTCTTTCAAGGCATTGCTACAGGTTGAACCTTTGAGTTGAGCTAATCAAGTATTTTTAACGGATGCTCGCGATAACAAACGATACTGATACGGCGGACTGGCGCAGTTCACCCCTCAAGACACAATTTGTCCGGCTGCAGCCGTAAAATTATATCAAATAACAAATGCTGCGGTTTGCATTTTATTACCTACGTCACTGGCCGACTTGATTGATCTTTCATTATTCTCATTTTTTCTTTATTTAGAATACGATGTCACAGATGGTCTTTCATGAAGTCTTCACAAAACTCATGTCAAGACTCCATCGCGAACTACAAGGTCTTTTGTCCTTCACACGGCAGTTGTAACCAGGAACTTGAATCACTGTACTAAAGCGCGGAGCTTCACTCACGAAGGCGCGGCAGGCCGCGGCTCGCAGTGACTCAGGCCGATGACATCACTCCTGGAGACGCGCGGTGGTCGATATTCCTGCCTCTGATTCACGTGTCTCCAGGTCACCAGTCGAGGGTATGGAAAATTGTACACCCTTCAATTTTCGGTTCAGGTGCAAATATGGCTGCGAAAACCCGCCACATTAAAGTCAAGCCAAAGCATCATTTACAAATGCCTAATCAAGCTAAAGCTAGTAGGTATGACAATAAAATAAATAAACTTGAAACGAAAATATTTTTAACTGAAATAATCAAAGTTTAGAGCGAATAAGCCTTCCATATTAAAATTATTTGCCTTGGCAAATAAAATAATAGCTTTTGCTGTAGCGATTACGAATGAGTCACACGGAGGGAACACTTGCAACGCTGGACCGCTTGGAATGGCATATTTCACACGTATGCCGCGCGACATAAGATAAAAACGAACTTTCAATCAAGAAAGAATAGGCACACGATGTTCATCGCGTACCCCTGACAAATTAATACGAGACAGTTGAAAATGTGAGGATCCGTTTCGTTGAGTGTTACAGCCTTATTTGCCAAAACCTTCTATCCAATCATTGGTCTCATGACATTACTTTTCATGTATGTAGGCGAATTTCCATACAATCAGCCTAGTACTTTCCCTTATAATAGAGATGCGTAGAATGTATGAGGAACATGGCACTTCCATTATTTGGCACGATTATAAGCAAGCACTGACGGCTTCTATTCATTGCCGTACGAGATGCCCATTTCCGCTATCATCCAGAGTCATGACAGTTGCTAAGACTCGGTCACCAGTTCGGGGAATTTGAAAGCTTTTGGTCGGTATTTATAACTATTATTGTTATTCTAGGAAGCAGTTATCGTGGAGTCTGGTTCAAACGAACTTCGAGGGCACGTTACACATAAGTTTAATAGCAAACCAAAAATAAATAAATAGACACGAGAAAGAATGAGAAGGGATAAATATGACTAAGCACTTGATTCATAGGCTATAAGAAACAGTTCCATCTTATGGGTCGACGAAACACCTGCAACTAAAGTGAAATATAATGCATGCGTTCAGTTCAGTTGCGTTCTGATTCAGTTTACCCATGAATGATGAGTAAATACTGTCCACGCGATGAAAACCGGAGCTTAAATGTGGATTTTAAAAATAACCGTCGAATTTACAAGGCGAGCTGATTAATACTTGATAACTCAAGAATGTTAAAAGATGTTGAATAAGGGATAGAAGGTTGAAAGAAGGACATGCTGTGTTAATGCGTAGGAATGAAACGATGAGTAAGAGAAGGCACAGAGCACGCAGGTGCAAGTAACACCTGAGTAATATGAGTTCAGCACCTGTCTGATTCTGCCATGACCAGCTGCACGTAATGAAGCACGTGACTCATATTATCTGCGCACATGTTATTATGAAAAATTAATACCCATTTAGTTTTTTAAGTCAATATGCATATCAGAAGGCCGGCTTCACGAACGTGCTTGAGCGCGCAATCATCGCACCAAGTTTCGTGCAAATAAGTACCACTGTACCATGGAGGGCCACCCAAAATAGAAGAGGTTGATTAAGCTATGTAGTTACCTCGCACGCTTTTTCACACGAAGCAAAGCTTTAGGTGAAGACGTGGAAACTCTCGTAGAACTGCCTTAAGTCAAATAGGATATTAATAATTATGTCGACGATTGTGAAGAGAACAGCGCTAATGAACATTTTTTTGTTTTTAATTAATTTTTTCCGAATAACAGATAAACAATATTGCACGGAAATATTTTCCAGGGACACAACCCATATAAATATGGTAAGAACACTTGGCGCTTCCCATCGTTTTCAACAGACAACCAAAGCGCCGAAATCACAAGAAGTATCACAAAAAGCATGGTTCATTGCGAATGACGAAAATCACAACGAATTCTTTGTTCAGTCATCATAACAGGTATAACTAACAAGAAAAATCAGCATGATAAATAATTTTTAAAGATGTTATTTTATAACTAGCCTTATTCCAAGAATAGAATCATATACCGAGCGTACTGTTGCAGGCTGCATGCATCTAGGATCTTGCTAGCAACAGGACCAAGCTAGAGTGTGTCAAGGAGACCATTGAATTATAACAGCGGCTCATAGAGCAACAGTATACAAGCCCACGCCACAAAAAGACCAAGCAAATACACCAGACAAGCAGGCATGCATTCAGTTCGTACAAAGACAGACGCTTCTGTGATAGTGAGACTTTTATTCCGTCTGATTCATTCATAATTGAAGTATGAATAGCATCTAAAATTTTACGAACTATTTATTTTAAGTGAAAATGGGCATCAAGTTTCGTACCCTGAAACAATCAACCACGTCAGGAAGTCTGAATGGAAAGTAAATCGCTTTCACCACTTTTAGAAGAAACAAATAATAAAATAACCAAAGAACGATAGAACCAAAGAACGGTATCTGAATGAAATGTAGCAAAAGTTCGGTGCATTTAATGCGAGCATACTTTTCATCTACAATGAGCAGAGAGGTCTTCGTTCAATGAGAAGATAGCACGAGAGTGCAATAGTTGTGCTGGCAGATAAGAGAGTCTTATCAAGAGAGTGTTGGATCAGAGGTCTGAGCCGGGCCATCTCTCAAAACAACCACTTTCCAAGCCATCCAATATGCAGTCTCATTTTCTCCTGAATTGTCCTAACAGGCGAAAAATACGTTCGAAAAATATCAACGCACAGAAACTAAAATGTCGCTTTTGAAAACTGGGAAAATCTTTTGTGGAAATCAAGCATTGATCAAAATAAAGCAGGAGGTCGCATACCTTGGCCTAAATAGAAGAATACCCTTTGTTTGTGCTAGATTTTATAAGAGCACAAGATTTTAACCAAGTACAACTAAAATCGAGGTAATTTTCAGGACATTGCTGCGATATTTATCATATACTGCAGTATTTTGAATAGTACGTCATGTCTAGATAAATTTTTCGTCACAGTGTTATTTGCCCAAACGTTTCGCAGATTTTCATCTGTGACGTTCATTTTCAAGTCCTCGAAACGGTAAAAACCGAACTTTCTATCACAAATTCATCAAGCGGATACAGAAAACGGATTACAACTGACGATATTTCACCCAGGGCAAGGTCTTCAATCAAGCCTGTTTAGTCCTTATAGGCGATAATACTTCATTTTTCAGTATATCAGCCTCATTCTAGCCTCAAAGTCACGCACTGGATTGGTAAACTTGAAATTGCTTTCGTGAGCGTATTGCTTGCTAGAATGACGATCACATTGAATGCGGTTGATAAAGTAGACTAAGTCAAGATGGACTAAGTTTCAACTGCCCCTAAAAGAGCAGTTCCTCAGCGTCATTCAGCGATCTCAAGCAAACTTATGCTTAGTGAGGGCAGGATATCAAGGAAGTAATTTTTAAAATATTTTTTTTTATAACGAAAGTTGGATAAAATCATCAAGAGCGTTCGTGGGTTGGTGACTTGGTGTTTGCAGTCAAGGTCACAGGCAGTCTCTGGGTCGCAGTTCTTGCGTGAAGAAAAAGAAATTAAGAAAATGCACTTCCTGTACAGCACCATAGCATGTAAATTTTTTAAATCTGAATTTAGTGACTGAAATAAATTAGCTTAAGCATTAAAATTTGAAATCCTCGTCCCCGGAGGCGGAGGAAACTTTACGAATATTCTCGTGTGCTATTATTATAGCACTGAAAATCCGCTATGTGGCATTATTTAAATTCAAGATAAGATTAATGAATTACGATTGAATATTAATAACTAAGCATAGGTATAAATCTAAAAACTTTGAAGATAATAATGTAGGAAGGAGTGATAGGATATGAAGGAAGAAACGCCGTCAAATGTCAATTCATCAATTGGTCATTCGGTGACATAGGTATTTCGACTTCTCTGCCAACAAACAACTTAGGAACCCAGGACAGGAGCCACACCACGCTTGTCAGCGACGTGCTGACATTCCAGGTCATATTATGTCTTCCAAGCAAAATGACAGTTTGGAGAAGTGTGATGGATAATTAAATAATCAGAATGGAATTGCATTTCAATGTTTCGACCGCTAAGACAATCTTGTAGATTGTATAGCGCACACGGCGGTCACTCTTATAATCTTATTCATAATACGTAATTAAACAATGATTCTACAAGCTTTAATCGTTTTTTATCAACAAATTAGAATAAAAAGTTACGTCAATTCACCACCCCATGTACGTAATGTTCAAGTTGTTAGCAAGGAGTGCGGCGGTTATCTCAAGTCAAGGCAGGTGCCCACAAAACGAGTTAACTAACTCGTCAAAATAACACTGATTTTAAAACTTTACCTTATTCTTATGTTTTCCACGAAGGCAGGCGTTGAAATTTCATTAAGTAGTACGGAATCACCAACTCCAACCTCGTCGTAACTTGCCATGGTTCTGGCACTTCTGCTAACAACCTCACCTCACAACGTTCAACACCTCACTGTTGGTGCTTGAGCACGAGCAGTTGAGCAGCTTGAGCTGAGTCTCATTCCGCGGTATTCGCCGTCCGCGTCCGAGTAATTCCTCTGGCAATTGTCCGCATTGGCCGTGTGTAATTATCAGCATTCGTGTGATTTGCAATGAAACGTCAACATGTGGAATTCTATAATAACTTGAAGTTCTCTGGTAACTGGCATTCACATGTGCAATAAACACATCCATTACAACAAATTTCGTAACAGTGATGACTTTATGAGCATGTCAATCCGGGTTGCCAGATGGATATAATAATATACGTTAAAAAATTACTTTTTAAAGTAAACTCTTCTGAAGAATACAGTGTCTTGGATATTACACATGTACAATGAATTTCTAATCTCATTTTCATATATTAAAAAAATTATTTTCAAAATTTTTTATGATATCAAAATTTTGTAAATTATCAAAATTATTTATTCTGTCAACTGACTGATTCATGCATTATCTCCGACTTTATGCGATTGTGCAAAATTTTAGGTCGATTGGACAGGTCAACTTGTTTCATATATGGATTATAAGATTTGTAAGAGACGAAATTATTTTTAAATTTTCTTAATAATAAAAACATTTTAATTTATAATATTATTTAATCTGTCAATTGATTCATGCATTGTCTCCAACTTTACGCAAGTGTGCAAAATTTCAGATCGATTGGATTGGTAGAAGTGTGTCAAATATCGATAATAAGATTTGTAGCAGACAGACAGACAAACAAACAAAAAGAAGTGAAGTTAAAGAGAAGTGTTGTAAAAACGGACAAGTTCACGAACAAAAAGAAGGCCCATAACTCAATAAATTCAAAATTCAACAGGTTCGGGTGCAAAAATTCCATTCTTCTTTTTACGCACTTAAAGTTAACAAGGAAAAATAGTCATCATATATATAAACAACTGGATAATAAAACTAAATTGCGGGATTAGTCCGGAAAAAGGCCATCTGGCATCCCTGATGTCAATGTGTGAGGAAATTTGTGTATTCTAGATTAATTCATATATACACTGGATGTGCTTTATAAGTGTGCATGCATGCTGTGTGTAATTACTGTCCCTAATGTAGTAACACAAGCACATACTCTCAGAAAAATTTATGATTAATTTTGTCCCATTAAGTAGTCTTTGCGGCCACATATGAGGGATTAAAGACAAAAAAACTTTGGCAGTGACATTCAGGTTATGGAAATATCTTTCGACGATTTTCATCGCGTTAAATTGCATTTTAAATAACTCACGATTGTAATCCTGCATCACTGAATCTATGCATTAAAACATTTGATAATTATTGTTGGCATGACTCCCTGTCTATGGCAAAGGGATTCTAATGTTTTTCTGATTTTTGCGTCGCCACTTCAATTATTTTTAACTTCGGACTTATATCAAGGCCATCTTCTATTCAAAGGAGAAGTAAACCTATCACTTTAACAAAAATTTTATCAGAGTGTCTGGAGTGTTAGCAACCTTCTCCTTTGCTTCTTGTGACAGAAGTGACAGTAATGTTGACTGGATTACACCATGATTAACATGCTCTGTCCCAGAGATTGCTGGTCAACATTCTGTCCCAGAGCTTGCTCTGTGACGATTAAGAAGCAGCGTCAAATATTATAAATTGTTACAGAATAAGCCACCTTTCCTCAAGTTTTCATGTCTTCACTGCTGTGTTGCAAGAAGTAAGGTTAAGGCAGCCACGGCCTACTGTGTCTGGAAGTGCCACCGTCTGGAGCCGCGGAAGGAAAAAAGGCGTGGCGGTGTAAACTCGCTCCTGCGTGTGGCACCAGGAACTTTTGATGGTTGCTTCTAGTGCAGCGGGTTGAAGCCCGCCAGGTTGGTCGTTCTTGTACATAAGCTTCTATATGATTTTGTGGTTAATGCAGACTCTTATCGCTGCTCTTTCTGCACGAGGGGTTTTAGGTCTGGTTTAACCACCATCGATGAAACGACTTTGGTCTGAAGTTCCAATGATACGTCATAAGGGTTTGCGCTAGACTGCTTCCAGCGCGAATACAAGGCACTGTTGGTGCCGGTCCTTTACACATGATGCGTTTTCTTAGGGCCAGTCAGACCATGCCCCTATATTAGTGGAGTATCCCTTCAGATTTCGATGGGTGAAGGTACCTGTCCTTGAGGCCTCCGCTGCAATGGACCGCACATTATTCCCTTCAGTGGAGGTTGTCCCGATGGTAACACCAACCCAGTTCGAAATTCTCGCAGTCATTGCGGCCGTTCGCCGCAGAGACGTTCGCAAACGCGCAAATCTAGGCCGTTGTTGCCGACTTTACCTTATTTTTAGACGGAAAGTATAAATAGCGACGAGCAACATATAGCGTTCATTTCAATGGGTAGATATTCATTATAACACTTGCGTATATTTTAATCATTTATTCATTCTCACTCTGTATACATACAGTATACTGGTACTGGTAATATGATTTGTGAAAAGCGCATCCTGGAATTTCAGGGTCTAAGATAATAATTCGTTGTATTAAATACGTGACCAATCATGTGGGTTCACCGGCATCTAATGTAAATTATCCATATTTGTTTGTCAATACTCAAATTTCAAAGCATTTAAAAATGAAAATAATTGCAAATCCATCAAGATATGATGATATTTGCAAATACATTCACAACCAATAGGCAGAGAATGCTTACGGAAAATGAACGAATCACAGAGCTTTTTGTTCAAACCAATGAACGCCCGTAACGTCATCAAAATCAACCAATGAAAACGTCAAGATTCAAGACGTCACTCTAAGCGTTTCTCTCCCATTCTCTTCATTCTGTTATCATCGTCTGCTGTTACTAGTGAATTCAAAGCGACCAAAATCGTTGTACCATATTGTAGCAAAGGTGAGAAATATTGTGCTAGGTAAATGGTAGGTAATCGATAATAATATTCTATATGATATTCCTGGCTATTATATGCATTCAATTTCGTGATTATAATCGAAAAAAACGAATACTATTGTATAGAGTGCTTGCGTCACGGTTCTAACACGTTTCCCGCGCAGCTTGTGAAGTTGTGAACAACAAGCGTTTCCTCATTTTAAAACTTCATAAGCCTGACCTAGTCGATATTGACTATTGAGATACGATAATATATAGGTATATATTAATAATGGAAATGTCATTTGTATCCTTTTAGACAAGATTTGAGTACATTATAACGATTAGCCTAAGACTTGGTGAAGTAAGTAGCCTAGCTACCTAGCCTACTAAGAATTTGCTCCGCCAGTAGAAATTGAGTCCTAAAGCTAAAGGCAAGTTAGGTAAGTGGTTGTGGTTAACCCATTAATGACGAGAATTATTTTCTGAATTTTTTTTCGGTTCCTTGTGAGAATATTATCATTTGTGATGGTAATAAGCAAAAAGTATGTTCATATATTTATTTTTCGTTGTATGTGAAAAATTATAGCTTGGTTCCATATGGAACCGCTCGGCATTTAACAATCGTATAGTGTTCAACGTACCTACTTCCAAATATTTCAACTTTCGGGATATATGTTCCTAACAGCTCTAAAGATAATGGTTCACTAATAAATAACGTAAAAACTTAGATCTAAGATCTAAATAAATAATTTCTAAGTACAAACAAGTTTTTGAAATACAATGCGTAACTATATCACATAGTAATCTACTGGGAAAATGAGATGACCGGAATGCTTACACTACTGCCGAGCGGTTCCATTTGGAACCAGACAGAATATTTCATGATCTAAAAGACTTTAGAAACATTATATCACGTGATGCCATATACATGATTAAAAGTACTCTCTTTATCGATAAAATTCTGCATCTAACTTATAAATAATATATTTTTAGAACGAACTACTTACCTTTCTCTGCAATGATGTCAAGCCCTTCTGTCAGACACCCGATACTTACAATCTTTTAGTGTTAACTGAGCAGGGAGTAGTCGGAGCAGCAGAACCAAACGTTGCCAGAACATGGACAAGATGTGTATCAAACCTACGCATCCACTAGTATATTGATTTGACCATACAATTTTATTATGAATCCATTTTTTCCTGCTGGTTCCAAATGGAACCGCTCGGCATTAATGGGTTAAGTGATGAATTTTTTAGTCGAAATGTCGAGCATTGTTTAATACGATTATTATGTAACTATTAGGGCTGGATGTTATTGACTTAGGCTACAACGCATAGGCCTAGGTACGTTCTGTACATTATACATATGATACTTTCCTTGAGTTATGGCAGTATACAGAAATCCAGCATTAGCCTATCATTATGGATATATGGTCATTGGTCAACATAGGGCCTATGCTACTGCCGCTACTCAAAAACTCCACATTCTTCCTAATCCTACTCTTAGTGGAATTCTAGGATGACTGGATGTATGGTGGCAAAGCAGAGAGTCTTTCATACTCTCCCTCAAGTTCATTTTTGAGTCCTATAAGTAGACCAGCAAAGTATCATGGATACCAGCATTATCATACATAATTTGTCTACATTTTGAGTAGGTAAATGAGAAAATTAAAAATGAACTGATTCTAAAAAATCCCTAGTTTGTCACTATGACTGGATGAGAGGTCCTTGTGTCTCAGGGCTAGAGAGTAGAGTTTTGAGAAGTCCTATTTTTTTTCTGAAATGTTGTGGCTCTGATATCGTTTAGGGAGCTAATTTCAGTAGGTACCACACTCAGGATGATGTATGTTTTCGGTGAATTTTCCCGCGCATTTTCACTTTTTTTAAGCTATTGCTGTGCACAGTTTGTGCAATGTAATGAAAATTGATTATCTTTGCGCACATGTTTGCGCAATCCCGGCCATGTTTATTTTAGAAGAAATTTTCTCCAAAGTCATATGGCAACACTGAACACCGTCTGTTTACATTTTGTATGTATAACAGCCGCAGTTTAAGATTACCGTACGTTCCATATCCGACAAGGCGGACAACCGGAAGAGTCAGAAGTAACCCGGACATGTCTCTCATTTTATTATTGTCAGTTCGACTCGCGTAGTAAATATACTCGCGTATATTGTCGACTAAAATAGAACTATTTTAGCTTCCTAAAGTACAGCGCACAGCGCATTTTTTACCAACGTAGTACGGCGCACCGCGCAGGTTGTTAAAATGACAAAATAAATTCCCGCGCACCTGGCACATCTTCCTGACCATGGAGTAGGTAGGGTAAACGCGGTAGCTATATTCCGACACTTTGAGGACGTAGCAAAAAATGAATGGTTATAAAAAATACACCGTACGCGCAACTAGAGTTCTGTTTGCTTTACGTCACTCTCAAAACACCGCACTATGTGCCAGTAACAATGAAACATCACAAAATGTTGCCATATTTATTTCAAAGCCTTTAGAATGCAAACCTACCAAATTCATATATTCTGACCAAATTCATATATTCTGACACTGTGTGTGACTAAATTCCTAAATGCGGCATTTTGTGAGACTAATTCCGGCCGCGCTTTAAACTCTACTAATTCATAATGCCGACACCAGGATGGAATTCTAATTTTGAAGGTTCATATATTACTTCGATCCACCAAGACCACTTTTTCTACCCAACATCATTATTTGAAGCAAAAAATGAACTTATTAAAGGCTTGAAACATGTACGCTAACTTGCTCAGTTTCTATAAAGTACCTACCTAATCACTTGGAAGTTGTATGCCTGTACCTTTCACTCAACAATTAAAATTAGACTTATTAAAAGTATTAGTTAGTTAAAATATTGTCCCTTAAGTTGACTGCAATGAACTAAACTTCATTGAGTAATTATAACTATGCTGCAAAGCAGTTTTCCATCATGCACACTAAACACGCAATTCAGAGTTCAGACAAGCGGAACTACATATCACGTGCACGGGCTAACGTGCAACTGAATTAAATACCTAGCTTCTTTCCCACATCCCGCTCCCGGTGCATAATCTAGCGGGATGATCAATGCGGACGGTAACCAAGTCCAACTAATCATTCGTATACTTAATGCAAGAGAATGAATAATTGTCGTTTCTGATCAAACGAAAACTTTTTCTGTTTCTGATCAAATGAACGAAAACTTCTGATGAAACAAACAAAAACAAACTTTTTGACGATAATTCTGAAATTGTAACGTCTATTGAATTCTAATACTGTTAGTAATACAGATAGTTAATTTTAGAATCGTATTTCCAAAAATCACGTATTGCATTCATAATGATGAATGATGATCTTGCTCGTATAGCTAAAAATTTTAAATTGAACAATTTTGTCATTTCAAAGACTCCATTGATTACAGAGATTTAGTTTTTGGAAGTGTATTCAAGAGAAGATTCTGAAATAGTAGGAACATTTCCATTATCATTCTGAAATAGAAGCGTCATTTCTGTTCTTATATATAAACAGGATTAATAAAATACCTATCAAGTCCATCCAATGTCATTCAATTTGTGTCTTGTGATGTATGAATGACAGTTTTACTTTCATTCCTAAGATGCTCGTTTTTACTGGTTGAAGCTGTAGAATTAAATTAAATTAAAAAATTAATCAAAATTAAATTTTACTAAATCAAATTTCATTATTTAATACACTAGATGGTACATGCTGTATAATTAAATTCTATTAAAAGAATGTTGAATTAAAAATCTGAGTATATTTTTTAAACTAAAAATTAATTATTATTAAATTAAATTGTATTATTAATGCACTATATGGTACGTGCTCTATGTTTTATATAATGAAATAGTTTCCAATTTTAAACAATGAACATTTTATGAAAGACACAAAATGTTCGAAAATGCGCGATGGCAGACGAAATCATTCAGAATTTGACAAAATGTTCAAAGATGCGCGATGGCAGATGAAATCATTCAGAATTTGAAGTGAATTTATTAAGATAAATTCAACATAATAAGGCAAAAAATGCGCGATGGCAGACAAAATCATTCAGAATTTGAAGTGAATTTATTAAGATAAATTCAACATAATAAGGCAAAAAATAAAAAAATTCAAATCTGGAACGTATAAATGGGTTTTTATAATTTAAAAATACTCAATCATGTAAATCTCAGAATGGAATGTGAATCAAATCTATTTATTGTGAAAATAAACTAGACACAACCAAAACATGAGCGTGTGTGACACCGTCTTGTAATACGTAAACACGGAAAGCACAATGTGAACATATGCAGTGAAATAGTAGCAGTGTATCTCATAATTTTGTGCGATATCAAAAACTTTGTTGGTGTTGTCCAATCGTGCAAATTTTTTATGAATGTGGATGTGTTTTCTTTTATTTTAGAACGTATTCATTGCAAAAAATGTGCCCACTAGCCTACAGATAAATGACTAGTTAACTTGATTAGGCATTTTCAACATGGGAAAGGATTTCAAACCACGCACGATTTCGGAAGCGCGGCAGTTTCTAATGAGCTCTGTTTATCAATTTTCATTGCAGTGGAAGGTGGTGTACTGCAGTGGTAGGGTTGATTTTTTTTGATACGTTTTCTTATATTGACATGAGAATATATTACCTATACAGAATTCCACACTGGCCGACACTCTTGTGTTTGAATTCCGATTGCTGTGTGAGCTGTATTGGCTTTTAATTAAGAGCTATTAAGCTTTTAATTAAAAAAATTGTAATTTTTGCACACATCTTGGAATGAGCTGTGTGTGTATAATTCCAAGCTGTGTTGGAATTAGTTTTTGTGTCTAAAACCATCTTGTAACTTAATCATCTAATAATTTTTTTACCACTTGAAATCAGCAAATCCAAGTATACTTAAAGGATTCCTAATATATTCACAGACATATTTAAAAGTCTCAAACCATAATATTTTTTCTACACAAAGTTTATCGCTAGTTGGTAGAGCAAGGTCACCCATCAACTTTAGACACATTTTTTGATGTTCTCACTGAGTGACGCGCACTGTCTCTCTTTGGATCTCATTTTCCCGCCAGATGGCCCAAACCTAGTGTTTTGGCAATAGTACGGTGCACAAAAGTATGACCTCACTATTTCAACCATCAACAAATGCATGGAACTAAGAAAAAGCATAATATAATTCAATTTGGGGGCAGATGCCCCCCTTGAACAAAGACTTGACTTACAATAAGGTAACTTAACTGAACTACAATGCAATGAGCCATAGTAACAATGGCATTTAAAATGGAATTCTTTACTCGCTATTCACTCTGATAAATTATATGCCCCTTTCACAAATAGGGAGGGTTATAAGCGTAGCAGAACCTTTTGTGCGAGTGGAGATAGCAAGTGTAAGAGTGGCTCATTTGTGAGTGGAGATGGCAAGCACAAGAGAACCTCTTTTGTGAGTGATAATGACAATGGTATAAAAACTTGCGTGTGAGTTGAAGATTGCAAGGAGACAATTGGGCATAGAGGATGACCAGAGTGGCCTTTCTGGCCCATGGTTGGTTTTCCCATACCATACAAGAGAATGCTTTTTTTGCTGACTCAGTGGTTTGTTTGCCACATTTTGCATAGATCCCTTCCTGTCACTACTCAGTGTGGTACCACACTCAAACTAGCTTCCCTGACTTACCATAATACCATATTAATAACTAATATTTTCATCAAGATATGTAACCCATGCATTGCATATAGTAATACCAGCTCCAATTGCAAGATGTACATTGCAGCTCGAGGTAATTCAACTTCAAGCAGCAATGCAGCAGTAATGTCTATCTAACTCTTGCATCACTTTGATCCAATATACCTATTTCTGGTCTGTCATGGATGAAATAATCTATCATTGAACATAAAAATTAATAGTATGATATTTACAATAATTTTGCTAGGAGCAAATAAATAATTTATTATACTTCCAAGTAGATTAATTTCTTTTCAGGAATAGATGCTTCAAACATTTGCCATATTTTAATTTAAAGTAAAATTTGAGTATCTATTTGAAAAGTGTAAATGTATTTTAGACTATTGGAAATATTTAAATTATAACGTATTTAGATTGGTTGATGTGGAATTTTATCTATGATTTTAGAAGATTGTTCAGATACAACCAAACATTTGCATTTCTCATGGTTGATGCAAGAAAAAAATGTGAGATATATTAAACTGCTGAGAATACTGAGAAACCAAGAAATTTACAATTAGCTTGATGAATTAATCCTTGGTTCCAATGCAGAAACATTTGAAAACTGAAATCAAGTTTTGATGACTCTGATGCACAACAGTGCTGCATTGTTCCATGTCAGGCTTGAGCCTTAGAGCAAAACCCAATTTCCCAACACATTCCTATTTAATAAAAAAAGCACCTTTGAACAAACAAATTATTTACTTGTAAAGGAATGTCTTATTGTTGATTATGCACCCTCTCATATTCGGTGAGCCAGGGCTCTGTGGCAAGTATTAACAGATTGCGTTGACATCATTTGTTTCTTGAGCGATATGATGGTCGACAAGCATGAATGTTGCTCCTGGTACAGTAGCTGCTGTTCTTTTGTGCATCTGTCATTCCTCTGACAAATTTTCCTGGCTCCATGCTTTGAAATCCATGCAAATTGAATTTTTGATTGTGTTGCAGAATTAGATTTTAACTCATTATTTATTTTGTGCATCCTGCAGAATTAGTGGCAGTTTTGTGCAGCCTATGCCATCTGTAGAGTTCATTAACAGGTGCACAAATCTGTCTGGAGATGCGTTATTTCCACTTGGGGTGTATTGTTTATTCTGTGCATTTGATCCTGCAGAATTAGTGGCAGTTTTTTGCAGCCTATGCCATCTGTAGAGTTCATTAACAGGTGCACAAATCTGTCTGAAGATGCATTATTTCCATATTTGGGGCGTCAGACAACAGGTTGTGTCACACTTGAAAGCTGATGGCACTAAAGTGCAGAACACATGGCAACAATGGAATGATCGAGTGCGGCGGAGAATGGGTGATTCCAAAATTTTAGAAGCTGATGCTGTAATAGAATATTATCACTATGTATCACTGGTGTTAAGAGAACAACACCCTTTCATATAATATTGATTCTAGAAACTTGAACCATAGCATTTGAGACATCTACCATGCATTATACCTGTTGTTTGCTTTAACATGTTCAACAATCTTATCTCCTGTCATTTCTAGTGAAACCTGACAATTGCTGCAGGTTCCACAGTTTCAACACTTGTATCTCAACAAATATTTAATCTTTAAAGTGCCGAGTGATGAAATAAGGAAATCAAGCACTTATTAAATGTAAATCACCACTTCACACTCTGCAATAGCATTTAGCAATTGTTAATATATGAATACTGATCATGAGTTGGGAAATTCTTATCCAAGGTCATGTAGTCACAAGAGTTGAGAGATATGGTAATAAGATGCATCATCTACATTGATATGGGATTGCAAACAGATATTGTGGCGGTTTATGAAATCGCAGCTTGCAACAATATGTTTCTGATACTTTTAATTGAACTCTAATTCTATTTATATTGAATAAAAGAAGGGCACTTTATAACAGTGATGGAAAGCAATTTTCCTGGCATTATTTGTGTTACATAAACACTGCCAAAAAATCACGGTGGGAATATTTTATCTTGTTTCAGTTGCCAGGTTATGATTGTTTTCACAACTTGAACAAAGAATGAACCGAGTTGTTTAGCTTCGTGGGTTCAAACATTTATGGGGGCTCAGCAAGTAAAGTTGTCTGTAGAACACCTTTTTTTCCTTACTACAACTACACAGCTTCTTCAATGTTGCTGCAAAGTTGTGGTTCAGCTTTTATGCCCAAATATATATATATAGTTACTTTTGAAGAGGCTGGCAGCCAGTAAACTTCAAGAGGAATTTACTGGCTGCCAGCCCCTTCCTTCTCACTATTGCATTTCATTTTTACTATTGCCTTTTTTTTATCTTTTTTTAATTCAAAATTACTGGCCATAAATTTGAAAACGTGTGCATTGTGGAATTCTAGAGTGGGTTTTAAGTGACCAAAAACACTTGGCATGTTGGTAGGCCATTGCATAACCAATCAGTCTGGTGAGGATGAAATTGCAATCCCATCAACCAAATACAGTTTAAAGAGGATAACATCTCAACCAATCACAGCTGGAAAGAGACATGTATCTGCCCAAAAACAAAAGTAACTTTGTGCGCTATCGTAGAATTCCAGTCTGAACTCAGTCAAACAACAGAACCATGGTGGTCTTTATCCTGACTGTAAAGCATGGGACAATAATAGTTGAAAATGCCTAATTCATTACATCTGAGATGTCTAAGTATGATTTAGGTGAGTACTGAGTAGTGGTTACAAAGTATGCTTCTCCATAGGTAATGGTTTAAGATTACTATGGCACGGGATCAACACGGACATTCTTGTAACAATTAGTGCAAGATGATTTGTATGATTCAATCCAAATTGGTGGTGGTTTGTGATCAGATAAGGAAGCTAATTGAAGGTCAAAATGGCTTGTTTGAGAGCCTGAAAAGATGACGATATCTCAATCCAAAATGTCCTACTTCACAGTCTGGACCATTATTGGCCTATGATTTTCCCAGGTACATAAATGTTGAAATATCTTACCATTCACTCCAATGATTGGAATTGAAATTGAAGATTGTGAAGGCATCTAGTCAGACCCTTGTGTCAGCCAGCCCCTATTCTTTAGTTACACATTCCTCAACTAAGTATGCACACTCATAGGAGAGTAGAATATTATCAGTTAAAAACAAATATTTGCATCTTCAGTGAAAAAAATATTAATAAGGTGCTTTCCTCGGATCAAGTAGCCACAAGTCAGTAATATTACAATTAGCTGGATTTACCCTTAGTGCTCTGCTAGATGGACATGGTTACTTCAATAGTTGTGGATCATGAGAAGATCAACTCGAGCTGAAAAAATTCTAATTCCTAACAGTTGATCCAGAGAGAAGGGTTATAAAGGAATATATATAGAGTAATATGTTCATCTTTCTAGCACAAGTTCAATGTTATTTTTGAAATGCCGATCAAGAATTCTTTTCAGTTTATTCTGGAGAATCTTTCTTCCCCAAATTCAATGCTTAATTATACTGTTCAATTGATTTTTTCTGATAGATTATTTAAAAAATACTTGAGTAACTTCAGCAAAAGGGATAATACTTTATTGCATATTCAACTTGCTCTAATCGTTTAGGCAATTAAATACAATGATAAATGTAAGTAGTAAAATTTAATTTATGAGTTATTTTACATGTTATTAAAATTGTAAAATGTATTTTTATTTTTCAGACTGAACTTCGAAAATGGCTCGTACAAAGCAGACTGCCCGCAAGTCCACCGGTGGTAAGGCCCCCAGGAAGCAGCTGGCCACTAAGGCAGCTCGCAAGTCAGCGCCCTCCACCGGAGGTGTGAAGAAGCCCCACAGGTACAGGCCTGGTACTGTTGCCCTCAGGGAGATCCGTCGCTACCAGAAGTCTACTGAGCTGCTCATCCGCAAGCTGCCCTTCCAGCGCCTCGTGCGTGAAATTGCACAGGACTTCAAGACTGACCTGCGCTTCCAGAGCGCTGCCATTGGTGCTCTCCAGGTTTGTTATGGCCATGATGTTAAAACTCCAATATATATTAGTAAACTTCAACACATTCTAGTGGTTAGTATCAGCAAATTTATTGATATTTCAAGTTCATTTTCATCTTGAATATATTTTTTTGATTATTGAAATTAATGAATTGGTGAATGCATGTTTGAGCAGACCGTGATCTCCTGTACGAGATTTTATGTGCAGTACGAGTATACATTCAACTGTCGTTTTGTTTGCATTTGTCTCATTCTGGCATAATAATTTGAAAGTATAAGGAGGATCTAGGTTATTCTATTGTAGAGGTTAGTTATTTACTTCATTTTGTGTATGTTACATAGATGGTGTTAGGTTGTTACTATTAATGGAAAAAATCAATAAAGGAATGCAAGAGAAGTGGAAGACGAAGAAAATTTTCGTTTGACACTTGAGTACTCGTCTTAACCTGTGAAGTAAATGTTGGCGCATTTTCACTCCAGAAAACGAGTTCATTCTTTAAAAACTAAATATCTTAAAAAAACGCTTGGAGCTAAGTTGATACGTTTCAATTAACTATTACTATTGTAATCTATCACCAGCTGCAGCGGTACCAAAGGTCACACGCCATCACTTTTTATAAATTTATTATAGCGTAACGCTGACATTCATTCTCTTGACTAATTATGGTCTGAATAGATTTTCTTCTGTCAGCAACTTGTTGACAAAAAATTGTTTGGAATTCGATTTAGGATCCTTGATATGAAGTAAATAACATGCAGCACGAATATGATGCGTCTAATGCATTTCTCATATGTTCATGATGCTTTGAGATGACGCAAATGACGTTTTTGCACGTGCAGGAAGCATCAGAGGCCTACTTGGTTGGTCTGTTCGAAGACACCAACTTGTGCGCCATCCACGCCAAGCGCGTCACCATCATGCCTAAGGACATCCAACTGGCACGACGCATCCGTGGCGAGAGAGCTTAAGCTGCTCAGCGCCACGTCTTAGTTTTAAGTCATCTACTGCCAGCTGAAATGTAGCATCGTACGGTACTTACGGACTTTCTTTTTTTATCATTGTGCGCCTCCATGTTTGTGTTGGCTTAATTTTACTGGATGAGAAAGTACTTCAGTACGCTTTCTCACTTTATTTATTCAACTTCGCACCCTTCAGTTTCATACCATTCCAGAATAGTACCTCGTCGACGTTATTTCTCTTCAGAGCATTGCAGATCTCACGCGGAATTCGTGTCATTCATCATTTCAACTTGTCGCGTAGCGTAAGGTAGTATTATAACTATACATTAAGGCTCTCCCTTCCTTTGTATTGGCTTCTAGTACAAAATTATCACCCTCTTCGGCCTTCAATTTACCCTTTCGAGGCGTGATTGTATAATGTATTTTTGGAGAGGTCAGAGTACTTTTCAGAACGTAGGATGACTTTTTTCGTCCTACTTTTTTAGCATATGAAACTTCTGCAGGCATCCATATCTTGAATCGACTTGTTCTAATTTGAGGTTTGATCGTCAGGTTTTTTTTTGGGGGGGGGAGTGCATGCATGTGAAACGACGAAGATTGCGCGATCGATTCATCCCTATGGCATTAGAATAAAATGCTATATTTGAAGGAAGAAATAAAGACTAGAAATCGCACGAAATTGAATTTTATGCCTAATCTATCGTCTACAAATTTGACATGGATTCTTGCACAGAACACATGTTAACTGCAATCGGTACCCATCCGGCGTTCAATCAAATTTAACGTCTTAAGACTATGTACACGAGTTAGTTACGTTCAAGGAGCTTCTTTCGGTGTTCCAGTTAAAGCTAACAATCGTTCTTCAATTTCAAAGGTGTCCGCCCCGGCCAGTCGGCATTTCTCCAAGGAAGCTTTCAGCATTTGTATTTCATAATTTCGTAGTTGTGCTTCGACGGATTGGCTTCCCAACCTTCCATCAATATCATTTTCCTCGCGCAAAATGAAGAAATATGCCATGAAAACCGCCATTGAAGCGAGGACTATGTAAGGCTGAAACCAAGGCCGGTCCGTAGGAAGTGCTGCTGCATAAGATTGCTCAGGCCTGAATTTGAAAGCCGGGCTTTTGGAAAACTGGACAGGCTTCGATAAATCTTCTTTCAGCAGATCGGCAGGCTTTGTGGATTTCTTTCTACTTTGGGACTGGGCCTCCATAGCTTCATGTAACCATGTTGGAGAGATGCATGCCAAGGACCTGAAACACACAATAGAGAACAATTAGTTTTCCCATCATCTATTTAAAATAATTTCCTAAATGCTATATTGTCCGACGTGCGTGGAGCTCAATACTATCGTGGATACTGTTGTAACCATTTTTTTTTATTACAAGAAAAAACACCATCAAAATTTATTGACAACTTGTATATTGAATGAAGCATCTATTTCCCATTCATTTCCAATTGTATCATTATTGTCCATTTATTTAGTAGTTAATATAAAAAAGCGTTCTTACTGAGCGTATCCACAATACCTACCCCAGCAAAATGGTGATAAATAATTGAAAAAAAAAGATGCAGCACAAGAATGTGCACTTAAGCTAGACATAAGTGGGAGAAAAAAGTTGTAAGAAATGAATAAAAATTTTTAATGCATTATTTTTGTAGGAAATTTTTGTCTCCTGCATGCAATATTGCGAGGAATCTCACAGTAGAATGAAAATAATCGAATCTATTTCAGCATAGAAGGTTCACCTGGCCTACGTAGAGATGATTTCAAAAAGGAATTCTTAACTAGCAGTTGGTTAGAAATTGTTTAATGAGCCTAATAGCCAGCATACATCGGGCAGATTCTAAATGGTACTTAGCATGAACAGAATCTACATAATGATAATTATGCAATAACTTTTAATTCAAAATTAGATTTCACAATGAGGCATTCCATAAGCAGATCACAGTAGCTAATCCTACACTCACCTGCAGAAAAGAGTTTTATGAAGATATGATTTGACTAGGAGCATTTTCAATTAAAGTATTTGATATCTTCAAATACACCTAGCACATGAATCTGCAAAAAGAAAGTTGTTAAAAATGCTTAAAACATGTATTTAGAAAACAATTTTGATACTCAAAGTTAACAAGCATTGCATGTCTCTAGATTAGTCAATTTCAGTGATTGAAATATGTATGAAACCTCTATTTGTTCTAGGCCAAGAACAACATGGCAATGATGGCATATGATGATCTATCCTAATATCTAAGTATTAGGTGTCCAAATATTTCTGCCTAAGTGTCCAAATATTTGCTTTGCTATGTAATAATAGCATATGATAAGTGTTTCTGACCAAAAGTTTTAACCTTTCTATAAATTTGCTATAGTAGATGATTAATTATTTCAGTACACCCAAGTCTTTGGTATGAAAATATTTATACATGCTAAAGAATGAATGGGCTAGGAGTGACCATGTTGCCTCATCTGCATTAGAAAATTCAGCAGAAATTTGAAAATGTTTGAGTGTGTGGATAGGAACCTACAAAAAATCTATTATAGGTACCTATCTCACAAAAATACATTATTTATTAGCATCTTATGGCTTCCAAGGGGCCAAGAATAACATAATAGTTTCTGCTCAATATCTTAGTTTGCAATAGATCTCACAGCTAGGGGAATCACTTTTTGAGTCAAATGTAGCTTGGAAAAAGAATCATTGATTTTCCACAATTGGGTATTGGTTCATTGTTCATAATAAAAACAAAATTAAACAACATGAATAAATTCACCTCAGAGTCTTACAAGAAGTTTAGATATTGAAATTATACAAAAATTCTTATAACCTTCTTCATTTTAGCACAATATAAAAATGTTATGGTATATCTCATTAATAGGAACAAAATTGGAGAAAATCTACATTTTTGTCTACAGTTTAATTTTAATAGTATAAAGTTTTAAGAAACCCCCTGCTCTTTTGAAAACAATTCTTGACTTATGATTGGTAGGTAGGTAAATATTTTGATGGAAAGTTAGAGCATGGTGGTGGTAGAATTAAGAATTCTAGAAATAGTGGTCCTTATATTTAGGACCAAGGAGCATAATGGCAAACAACTGAAACAAGAAACATATTTGTTGACCCTTAAGTTTAACCCTTTTGAGGTTCTCAGACTCAGAGGCCCAGCCCCCTAGTAATTTCTCCCATATGCATATGATGTGGACAAAATTTTGAACTAGATGAGCTAATTTGAACTAAACAGCATCTAAAAATCCCTTATTTCACATTTGTCACTAGGTATCATGACCATGCAAATGATGTAATCAAGATTCAAGGAGTCAAGGACTCAAGACCAGTGACCAATCTCTACGGAGTCTACTCTCTAGCTAGGTAGTTTATCACTTATTAGTAACAAAATATCAGAGTTAAAATGGAAAATTAAGTTAAGGCTTTCTGATCCAATATTTCATATGTGATGTCATGTGATGTGCACTTGTTAGTTGTTCATATATTATAATTTTGCCTCTTGAATTTGACCCTGTAAGCTGTAACATCCTCTGATCCTCATTCAGCCTATAAGAAAGATCTTAAGCTTGGTTTCTACTATACAAAGTACAAACACATGTTCTAAACTAACTAGCAACTATGACATGGCAACAGGCTACATCAGGCCCATTCTTCAGCACCAACATCACTATGATATGATATGATTATGATGCAGTGATGCACCAGATGTGGTAGTTTTACTGGCAAACTAACCAACTAACATACAGTAATCTTTATTGTTTTTTTCAAACTCAGTCTCTCAGAGACACTGAGACAGGGTGGAAAGTTGGCAACTGACAAGCAGCCTACTGTAAACTGTAGCAGTAGCCGGCATAAACGTGAAATATTTCTACATTTTTGAGCTGCAAGTTTGCAACTACTGTCAAGTGTCAATGAATTAAAAGTTACCATTCAGCATTCAGTAGATACAGCACTTACTTCGCTGCTCGGCAAGAAAAACTATAATACTACTCAGAAGCTCAGAACTAGGTATGATTTGTTTGAAGAAGGCCGCATAATAAAATTAATGAAGGGTTGGAAGTTGGAACGTTGGGTTAGGCTAGCTGTTAGGCTGTTACTGTTAGTGCTGTTACCACATATTTAGTTTTAGTACGATTTATGTTTACGGAGCTATTCTGATTTTGCTAGAAAGTAAGTTTTTTTTTTTATAAAATAGATTATTTCTATTGAAGGCTTCGAACAGGGGCAGAAAAGTGCTGTGGCGACGTTATTCTTATTGGCATTGACGGCGGTCACCCTTACGGCTTGCGTTAGTTAATATATAGTTTACGTTACCGTTACGTAACAAACATCAAACATGTACAGTGGATGCCTGGATCATGGATGGGATTGGTATTTGGTGTCAACTAGCATATAAGGTTGACCCATGACCCAGTTTCTTATCATTTACTTTTTAGCGACTTGGTAGTAAATAACTATTTATGGACATTAACTTTTTTAGTCCACATAATTGACATTTCGATTGATTTGATGCCGGGCTGAAGGTAACTGTTATTTCAACGGAGCAAACGCGGTGTTGCGGACCTGCGGATGCGTAATTAACTGAAGTTCGGACCATCATGATTCCTGCCTTCCGGAACGTAGCCTTCAACACTTCAAGCCGTCCGTATCTAGGCCGTGGGTCGAACCAGCCCTCGGTCGAACGGCCACTTGTCGAAGGACGATAAATTTTGTAACAGAACTATGCTATCTGAAATCTAACCTCAGTTGCGGTGAACGAAAAATTACGTAATTTAACGATGCCCGGAAGTCAGATTCGATCCGCGGCCTGGTGGTGCACGGCAGGTGGTGGTCAAGGCCGGAGGAGGACAAAGCAGGGTGGCCTAGTGGTAACAGTTCAGAGTACCAAGATTGGCGCAGATAGGCGCGGGTTCGATCCCAGCTCTGTGCGTCAGTTTCTGGTCAGAATCGGCAAGGAGGCCGGGCGGTTAAGCACAGCAGAATTGTAGTAGTGAGCTGCGAGTTCGAGACCGCAAAATGCTGTGAATGTTCTGCGATGTTGAGAATCGGCGACAGGCCTACGGCCTACTAAACGCTGAAACCGCTATATTATTATTATCAAAGCCGAGTGGTGCACGGCTGATTGGTGTAGGTCCGGAGAGATTCAAGGCGTTCGATTCAGGGCTTAATGGTTCACAAAATTGGTGGTGCACGGCTGCGCTCCCATATCTATCTACTCATAATTATCCCTTTAACGACCAGGTGTACCATACGGTCGCCTCTCAAACATGCTCTGTAATATTATTGCATGATAAGGAATTGGCGCTAGCTGTTTTGAACGTGTTCGGTAAGCGTCCCTGCTTCGTTTCGGTGGTGCAACTCTACTCTTTGC